AGAGAGAGAGAGAGAGAGAGAGAGAGAGAGAGAGAGAGAGAGAGAGATTGAAGATATTAAATGCCCTGAGGAGGTCCAGACACACCTGGTAAGTGTCTGAGGCAATATTCAAACTCAGAGTTTCTTGAATCCAAGACTCCAAGGCATTCTATCCACTATACCACCTAGCTGCCTTGGTTAGAGAATTGACCTCAGAGCCAGAAAGACCTGGGTTCAGATCTTGTCTCTGACACTTAGTGGCTCTGACTTTGAAGGAGTCACTCAATTTCAGTGCCCCAGGTAACTCTAAAACTATACTTTGAAGAGCAGGTATTGGGCTGCTTCCAACATGAGGTACTATTTCTTTCTTAACATCAGCTCAGCAGAGCCCCTGTGGGACTGGATCTCCTTTTCTTTTCTTATTTTTTTGGTGGGAGGCAGTCAGGGTTAAGTGACTCGCCCAGGGTCACACAGCTCAGGTCCTCCTGACCCCAGGGTGGGTGCTGCCCCAGAGGCTGGATTTCAACAAAGAAAGTCTGGAGGTGGGGAAAGGAGGATAGCCTGACTTTGCTTTCTCTATTCCCAGAGCGTAGGCAGCCCACGTGACTGGTACCGGAAAATGTTCCAGCAGATCCACCGAAAACTTCCAGGTGAGACCCAGTCTTGTCATGGCTGGTGCATGGGCAGGGTTGGGGGTGGCTGGGGAATGAGAAGGAGAGGAGGATTCCAAGGGATTTGAGGAAGAGGGAGAAGAGGAGGAAAGAGAAGCGACATGGATCTGAGTCTTGATGGAAGCGTCTCAGAGATGGAAGGAAGGAGGGATGGCTTATACAAAGACACGGTGATAGGAAATGAAATGCCACACACAAGGGACAACAAAATGACTGGAACGTAGCGTGTGTGTCAGGAGTAATGTGCAGGAAGGGTTAGAGAAAGTCTAAAAATGTAAGCTGTAGCCACATTGGGAAAGGGTTTAAATGCTGAGCTGAGGAGAGGCATAGGGAGCCATTGAAGGTTCTTGATCAGGGGAGTAAAACAGTTGGACTTGCACTTTAGGAAGCTTATTTTGGAAGCTTCATGGAGGATGGGTTGGAGCCAGTTAGGAAACTGTGACAATAGTTTGGCTGAACTAGAGCGATAATGGTGTGAGTGGAGAGAAAGGGGACAGGTTGAGATGGGTAGGTAAAATCAACAAGATTTGGCAAGTGAATGGTTATGGGAAGTGGGGAAGAAGGAGGACTCAGGACGACATTTGATGGCATCACTCAACTTGTAGACCTGGGGAATGCTCTGCAGAGTGTTTCTCTAGATTTTAGCAAAGCGCTTGATAGAACCTCTCATGAGGAAAAGATGAAAAGATGTGGGCAAGACCAGGGGCATCTAAATGGTACCTAAGGATCTCTTGTTAACTTACAAAACCATATATTAACATTGTCTGTTCTTTGGTGTTTTTATTTATTTTGTTAAACATTTCTCAATTACATTTTAATCTGAACTAGGGAGTCCAGACTTGTGCTAAAAAAGTGTTGTGGACTGTACAGGCTGCAGTGTTTGACAGATGGTACAATTAGATGAATCTCGGGCTGATTGGTTGGCCAGATCAAGAGACTAGAAATGAATGGTTCAATACAGTGCTGGATACTATAAAGATCTCTGAATTTAGAGTTAGATGAACTGGGTTCAAATCCTACCTCAGATACTTACTAGCCATATATGACCCTGGGCAAGTCTCTTAACTGTTGCCTGCCTCAGTTTCCCCTTCTGTCAGGTGGAGATAATAACAGTACCTACTTCCCTGGATAAAATGACATGGTATGTGAAATTCATTTGTTGTTGGGTCGTTTCAGTCATGTTTGGCTCTTTGTGACCCCATTTGGGGTTTTCTTCGCAAAGATACTGGAGTGGCTTGTCTCTTCCTTCTCCAGTCCATTTTACAGATGAGCAAACAGGGTTAAGTGACTTGCCCAGGGTCACACAGCTAGTAAGTGTCTGAGGCCACATTTGAACTCAGGTCTTCCTGACTCTGGTACTCTATCCACTGTACCACCTAGCCTCTGTGAAATGCATTGCAAAGCTTAAAAGTGCTATGTAAATGTTAGGTTTTATTATTATTATTATAAGGAACTCTCCAGTGGAGTTCTGCAGTGATCCCAGGTTGGCCCTGTGCTATTTATTTAACATTTGGATAAAGAGATAGGTAATTAAAAATATCTGGAATCTAGTGAAATGAAACTTAGTAGAAGTCAATGTAAAAGTCTTAGCCTTTGCTTCTAAAAAGTCAGCTTCCTAAATACAAGATTGCAAGCCCCATATGCATCCATAGGGTGAGATTGCAACTAAGAAAGCTAACGTAATCTTAGCCGGTGTTAAGAGAAGCCCGGTGTCAGGGATGGAGCAATGATGATGGCTCCTCTACTTTGCCCTGATGATATCACCTCTGCTTCAGTGCACTCTCTTCCAGGTGTCAGATTTTAGGAAGGAAATTGATCAGCCAAAGAGCATCCAGAAGTAGGCAGCCTGGACGGCTCTTGCCGTAAAAAGATTGGCTGAAGGCACCTGAGAGCTTGGAGAAGAAAAACCATGAGAGCACATGATAGCTGCCTTCAAGTATTCAAAGGACTATCAGGCAGCCAAAAAGCATTTATTAAGTGCCTGCTGTCTGCCAGAGACTGTGCTAAGCCCTGGAGATACAAAGGAAGGCAAAAAAAAGACAGTCCCTGCTCTAGAGGAGCTCACAGTCTAATGGGTTATGTCTGGTTGAAGAAAGAATATATGCTTCGTCTGCTTGGCCCTGGAGAATAAAACTAGGTGTGGGTGGAATTTGTAAAATTAGGCCGATTGAGGCAATGAAGCATCTATGTGGTACAGTGTAAAGCTTGTTAGGCCTGGAGTCACTAATACCTGAGTTCAGATCTGGTCTCAGACACTTCTTGGCTGTGTTATCTAGCAAGTCGCTTAATATCTGTCTGCCTCAGTTTCCTCAACTGTAAAATGGAAATAACAACAGCTCCTACTTCCCCAGGTTGTTGTGAGGATGTAATGTTCAAAAAGCATTCAGCATAATGCCTGGCACATGGTGGGCACTGTATAAAAACTAGCTATTATTAATTAACGCAGAGATCTTGGATAACCACTAATTCCAGTATATTGGGGGGACACTAGATGGCCTTTGGTACTCCTTCCAATTCTCAGATTCTGTGATTCTTTAAGGTTTGAGTGGAGACCCCAGCTCCATCTTGAATTACACGTGTCAAGGAAATAAGGACTCTTCTTCCTTGGAGAAGGACTCGTAGCTGCATCTTAATTTGTAGTAGTTTCTTCTTCTTCTTCTTTTTTTTGGGGGGGTAAGGCACTTGGGGTTAAGTGACTTGCCTAGGGTCACAGAGCTAGTAAGTGTCAAGTGTTTGGTCTGAGGCCGGATTTGAACTCAGGTCCTCCTGACTCCATGGCGGGTACTCTATCCACTGCTCCACCTAGTTGCCCCAATTTGTAGTAGTTTCAAGGACTTAGAGGCAGGTGGAATAGGTGCCTGCAATTTCATCATTAGTTATTTATTCCTCTGTGGTAAAACTAGCTCTGTCTCTACTGTCCTCATTTAAAATTAAAATATCGGAAGTAGCCTTGGAGGTCACTCACTCATTAGCGGTGCCTGAATTTTCTCTGATGCTTTTCTCCCAGGCAGGAGGGTCCCAAGGGGTCATAAACAAGAAAGATGGATTTCCCTGACTTGTCCATTTTGCCGACCACAGGCCCGGCTAGTTTTAAGTGTGTAGGTGGGTGGGTCTGAGCAGAGAGGTGGGAAATCTCCAGTTGCCTGGAGGCACTCCAGAGTCGCTGAATACCCAAAAGCATTTTCAGACCTCCTAGGAGCAGCTCTCCTAATTCTTTCCCTCCCTAGACATTCTTCTGGGCCTGACTCATTCCCCCACCTCCTAAAGGGGAGGGGAGGGCCACTGGCAGGGGAGTAGGGTTGTGGCTGAGGTTAGAGAGCGGTAACCTGCCTCCTCTCTCTTTTTGCAGAGCTGCAGCTGGACTGGGCTTTTGAGGAGCAAGGCAAAGGTGAGAGAGCAGCCCTAAAAACTGGTCCTGGAGGCTGGCCCCTGCTCCAGGAAACACAGCTCACCATCACCTGTGTTTGAAGACCCCAAATCTCTCTCCCGCTTCAAGTCGACAAACGTTCAATGTGTCTTTCTCTGATGGCAGAATCTTTTCAGGACCTGGGAAATGACCCTGTTGGGGTTCAGTTCCCTGGTTGCCTGGTTTCCTTGAGTATTCTGATCCCACCAACCCTCCCATTTGCCTCCAATCCCCATCCTTTCTAGAGCCCAGGCATCTTGGACCACTATTGAGAGCTGCCTCTCGGAGTCCTTCATCTCTCCACAGCAGGTGAGTGAGTGCTGGGATTGGAGGAGGGGGCTCTGGAGGCTCACAGCTTGGCTTTAGGGGGTGTGCAGCTAAGAAAGCTCTTCTTTCTCCACTCCCCCCTCCCCCAACCCATTCCTGAGCCAGAGGAGGTCAGAGCATTGGTGATGGGGCCAATCCCAGAATGGGTGGTCCGTCCCTGTAGTGAACTGGCTCCCTCTGGTGGTCAAGTCAGGGAGCCAAGCACTCAACGGCCAAGCCCAAGATGCGTGCCCAGCTCTGGGCTGGAAGAGTTGCAGAGTTTAGATAGGGCACTCTCTGGCATAGTATCAAAACTGAAAAGGACCTTAGAGGCCATCCAATCCAGCCCCCTCATTTTAGGAGGAAACAAACAGAGAGGTTGAGTGATTTGCCCAGGGCCACACAGCTAGGAAGTATCTGAAGCAGAATTTGAACTTAGGACATTCGGACCTCAAGTCTAGCACTCTGTTTGCTGCTCTCCTCGTGGAGCTCACAATCTCATCAAAGGGTGAGACACATACATGGATGACTATAATACAAAATGAAACACGGTCATTCTTCAGATCTCATGTCTCCTCTGCCAACTACGGTCAAGTGTTGGCCATTCTGAGCTCTCCTCCCTACTAACCTCAGAGCAGAAAGACAGGCTGGAAGCAGCCTTCTCTCAGTGCCTGGATTGACTGACAGAATACAGTTGGGCTTGTTTCTGGCAAAGCCAAGCCAAGTGACAGAACTCACCTCGCTGGTCCCTGGGACCTTGGCACACCTGCCTTGTCATCATGGGTCACCCCTAAGCAAGACACAAGTTCCTTGTTTTCTTTGAACGGGACTCTGAAGGTTCCCACTTTAACATCACCTCTCTCCCTTCAAGTTGGAAGCCTCATTTCTAAATGGAGCCTCCAAAAAAGATTCAGAACATGCTGTGCCTGATGGGAAGGTGGGGGGTAGCAATGTAAGGGGAGAGGTTAAAAATTAAATTCCTAGTCTTACCTTTGGACACAATCAAGCTACAAGTCAGTGGAGAGTCTCAGTCTGACTCTTCATCTGAGCAGAGGCTCCCCACCCCCCCCCCCACCCCAAGCAAATAAAATCAATGCATTTATTATTCATTGGTCTGGATTATTTTTAATCCCTTTTATGGTAAGTGTCCTCATCTGGGACACATCATAGAGTTTCCGTAGGTGTGGCTTCTTGTTATGATTTTCAGTTGGTATTGAAACTGCTAAGTCATATTGATGTGTGACTAGAGAGCTAATAATAGACCAGCAAATTCTGGTGGACTGGCCACCCACTTTTTTTTTTTAAGCAGTTGGGGTTAAGTGACTTGCCCAGGGTCACACAGCCAGTAAGCGTCAAGTGTTTGGTCTGAGGCCAAATTTGAACTCAGGTCCTCCTGACTTCAGGGCCAGTGCTCTATCCACTGTGCCACCTAGCTGCCCAGGCCACCCACTTTGCTATCTGATCAAACTTCTGATTCAGTGGAACCTGTCTGATGCTGATGGCCTATTTGGAAGGAGCATCCCAGAAGCTCTCTAGTTCTAATAATAGCTTTGTGTTACCTTAGATCAGTCATTTCCCCTTTTCTGGTCTCAGGTTCCCCGTGTGTAAAACGAGGGGCCTGGACTCATTGATTTCTAGAGTGCCTTATAGTTCTGACATTCTATGCTTCTGGAAAAACTGGCAAATACAGGGTTCTGGCCAAGTTACTAAAGGAAATGTCAGAACTGAGACTCACCCAAGTCAAGCCCCCTCCACAGAATAGGGGCCTTCTAGAATCCTAGAATATCAGAGCTAGGAGAAACTTTAGAGAGTGTCTGGTTCAGCCCTCATTTTTCCATATGGAAAAACTGAATTAGAGAGAGAGAGTGGCAGATACAGGATGATAGATTTTGAGCTAGGAAGGTCCTTGGTGGCCATCTAATAAATGAAAAAACATTTGTTAAGCACTTTATATGTGCCAGGTACTGTAGGAAGCACTGGGGATTCCAATGGCAAAGAAGGACAGCCTTGTGTTACAGATAAGCTTAAATGATTTGCCCAAGTATTGACTGACAGAGCCAGGATTTGAATCCAGCTTCTTGAACCCAGTCCTCTTTCCACTGAACTGCCTAACTTTCCAAATTCAAATTCCAAAGCTCTTTATACTTTATCATGTTCACCTTCTAACAAAACTGGGTGGTTTTTTTGATCTTGGTATCAGACATTCGTCATATCAGGATATTTTCATCCCAACAGTAAATGAAAACTAAATTTGGCTGATTTATTTTATATTTGATTTATTTTTTTAAAAAAATACATAGCAATGATAAGAGCAAATGTATAAGGTCCCCTGCCTAAGACAGAAAAGCACAGGCAAAGAAACTTCTAGGCAATAGAGGAAATGACCCAGGGCCCTGTGGTTGGTAGGAGCTAGTATGTCAGGCAGGCAGGAAGGAAACAGGCATTTATCAGGCACCAGCTATGTGCCTGGCATAGTACTAAGTGCTTTACAAACATTATCTCACTTGATCCTCACAACATGAGGTAGATACTATTATTATTCCCATTTTACAACTGAAGCAACTGAGACAGACAGACGTTAAGGGACTTTGCTCTAGGAGAAAGCCCTGGGATTGGAATAAGGAAGACTTGAGTTCAAATCCTGCCTCAGACATTTCCTAGCAGTGTGACCTTTGCAAGTGTGGGATGGCCCCAGTACAGTTCCTGGTACAAAGTAGGGGTTAATAAAATGCTTGTTATCTTTCCCTCACCCCATCCATTGCATCACGTGGCTGGTGGTCTTCTGAGCCCTGAATAAGAAATATGGGGACTGGGGAGAAAATGGTTACACGTAGGGAAAGGAGCACAAATCAAACTGAGTTATGGAGAAGGGAAAGCAGCTCCCTCTCCCAGGACCAACCTTTCTCTATGCTCCGGTCTCAGCCATATTTCAGGAAAGCAATGATTATCCTCCCCTTTTCTAGGAGGAGCCATAAGGACCCTAAAGAAGGGGCTGGAGACATCTTCAGCTATAAGCCTGGAACCTCACCTCTCCTGCAGACAAGACCTCAGGTACACACACCTCAGGCTCCAGCCCATCCCCCTCACAACCTCCCGCCCTTGCTCACCAGAAGCCCTGAAACAGACTTGTGCCTGGCCTGGCACAGACAGTGCTCTGAAAAGCATCAGTGACATCCAGCATTGGTCCCCATAGTGGCCACTGATAGGCTTTTAGGCCCATGCCCAGATAAGGCACTGGACAAACCAGGCCATTTAAGGGAGGAATGACTTTCTTCAGATGACAAAATTCTGTGCCCAGGCCAGATTCAATTGGAGCAATTGAGTTCATGTCCACTGTTTCCTCATCCAGGTGGTCAGGTACCAGAAGAAAGCTGAAGATGTCTGGACTGAGGACTCCTGGAACCAATTTCTACAAGAACTAGAGACAGGGCAGAAGGTAAGGGGACATCAACTGGGGTAGAAAGCTAAAAGTGGGGGTTGCCCTTAGCCAAGGCTGCTCCACCTAAGACTAGGCAATCATCAAAAGGAGCCCCAAAGGGAAAGAGCCTGGGAACTGTCCCGCTCCCAGTTCCCCTGATCTGACCTGACCTCCCCTCAGCCCAAGAAGCCATTGGTGGATGAACATACTGAGAAGCCCTCTTTACCAATTGAGGTGAGTGCCAGTATGGTCTGGGCACCAGTGTGAGTGGGAGAAGGGCATGGTTTGGATGCTGGGTTGGGTGGGGATGGGAAAAGGCAAAAGATGGCAAGAGACTTGGGCAAGATTTGCCTCCTCAGACCCAAAGGTATGAATTCTGGGTCACCATGTGTAGTTTTATAAATGGGGTCTCCCTCCAGCCCACAGATCAATCAACAAGAATTTACTGAATGCCTATTATGTGCCCAGCATGATAGTAGACACTAATTGGGATACAAATGAGAAGATAGGGCTTTTACCTCAAAGAGTTCAAAGTCTAGTTAGGGGAACAATGAAAAAAACCTGAGAAAAATTGTGGACATGTTACTCAGTCAAGAAATTTGCACTTGGGAGTCAGAGGACAGGATTACCAGCTCTGCTGGTTACTACCTGTGTGGGCTTGGGCAAGTCCCTCACCCTTTCTGGACCTCAGCTCCTTCTAGCTCTGTATCTGTGATCCTGTGACTTATGAGCTAATTATTTTTCAATGAAAATGTCACAGGAAATCAGAAAAGGGAGAGATCGAAATTAGCAAATTTTAAAGTCCTATAGAAATGTCTGTTATTATTATTTTGTTACAGCAGCTAGGTGGTACAGTGGATAGAGTGCTGGGCCTAGAATCAGGAAGACGAGTTCAAATCCGGCCTCAGACACTAACTAGCTGTGTGACCCTGGGCAAATCACTTAACCTTGTTTGCCTCAGTTTTCTCATCTGTAAAATGAGCTGGAGAAGGAAATGGCAAACCATTCCAGTATCTTTGCCAAGAAAACCCCAAATGGGGTCATGAAGAGTTGGACACAACTGAACAACATTATTTTTTATTTGTTTTTATGTTATTTATAATAAAATTATATTAAATATTTATAATAAAAATACCGTTTATTCTATCATTATAGTGGAGAAAATGGTATTCCAGGTAAGAAGAACAACACAAGCAATGAGGCTGGTAGTGTGACCTTAGGCAAGTCACTTTTCTCTGGGCCAGAGTTTTCCTATCTGAAAAATAAGAGCATTGTACTGGATTAGAAGTTCTTAACCTTCTTGTGTCATGGACCTCTTTGACAGTCTGATGGATGCCATGGATCCCTTCTCAGAAAAAGAAAAAGGTTTTAAATGTATAAAATAAAATATAGAGGATTGCAAAGGAAACAGATTAACAGATTATATTGAAATGCCAGTTATCAAAATATTTTAAATGCAGGTTCCCAGACCACAGGCTAAGAACCCTCTAAGTGAGATGATTTCTAGGGTACCTCCTAGTTGCCTGACTGATCATGGGTCATGAAACTTCCCTGAGTAAAATAGAAGGTGCATATTGGGGAGTATATGGAGTATTAGAAAAGTAGCACCCCTGTCATTCTTCGAAACCATCCCTGCTGCCAAGGTGGGCAAATTGGCTTTACTTGGACATACCTCAGTTTCCACGTTTGATTTTGATTCTGGGCCAGAAGCAAATGGTTGCGTGTGTATGGATGGCTTCCTGTATGAGGCGGGGGAGTAGGACAGAGGGCAGATTGTAGATACTGCAAAAGGCAGATTCAGGACTTTAGATGTGGTATGGTAGAAAGTGAGGAGTTCTCAAGCTGGAGAGTGACATGCTAAAAGTGAGGGTTTGGAGAAGATAATAACAATAATCTGGTTGGGGTATGTTGTTGTCCAGTCGTGTCTTCAGTTGACTTTTTTTTTTTTTTTTGGTGAGGGGATTGGGGTTAAGTGACTTACCCAGAGTCACACAACTAGGAAATATTATGTGTCTGAGGCCCAATTTGAACTCAGGTCCTCCTGGCACCAGGGCCGGTGCTCTATCCACTGTGCCACCTAGCTGCCCCTTCATTTAACTTTTTGTGACCCCATTTGGGGTTTTCTTGAGAGAGATACTAGATTGGTTTGCCATTTCCTTCTCTAGCTCATTTTACAGATGAGAAAACTGAGGCAAACAGGGTTAATGACCTGCCCAGGGTCATACAGCTAGTAAATGTCTGGGACTGGATTTGAACTCAGGAAGATGAGTCTTCCTGATTCCACGCCTGGCACGCTCTGGTGCCACCTAGACTAGGTTAAAGGAAGAGTTGGGGAGGCCAAAGTATTGAAGCAATCCAGATATAAGACTTCCCCAAAGGTACTTAAAATCTTCTCTTTCTAGGGCTCCACAAACAGTGCAGGGCCTGCTTGAGGAGTAGTCGCATCATGCTCTGATACCATGTCCCTAAAGGAGACCTGATTGTCAGGACACAGTGTCCATTCCTCTAGCAAGGGTGTTTTGTGATCATTCTTTATTTTGAATTCTTTTTTTTTTTTTTGTGGCTCCGAAATGGGGTTAAGTGACTTGCCCAGGGTCACACAGCTAGTGTCAAGCATCTGAGGCTGGATTTGAACTCAGGTCTTCCTGACTCCAGGGCCGGTCCTCTATTCACTGCACCACCTAGCTGCCCCTTTGTGATCACTCTTGCTTGTAGAGTTGGGGAGGAGATAGTGCTGCTATTGGGGGTGGGGCCTACTGTGTCTTCTGGGGATCCCAGCCCCTTTGCCCCATCAGATCTTACTGGAGAGGGAACTGGCCAGGCTGAATGAGGAGCTGGACAAAGACATGCGAGCCATTGAGATGAAGCTGCCCCCGGACAAGGTACCCCTCCCTCCTGGGCCCATCACCCTGTCACATGCCAGAATGACGGGCATAGAGGGGAACAATGTAACAGCAGGATTTCTGAGGTGGGAAGGCGCTGCCTAGAGCCCGGGTGTCCAGTCTAGCCCTGTAGGTGTACGGCGGGATGTGGAAAGCAGGCTAGAACAAGTGGAGAGGGAGGTGGTCTTTATGGAAAGAGCTGGCTCTTGGCCCATTTTTTCCACCGGTGATGTTGGGAAAGTCACCTCTCCTCTCTGGGTCTCAGTTCCCCAGTTTGGAAAATAAGGAGGTTGGATCAGACTGCCCTTAAGGTCCCTTCTTCCTGTTTGTAAGCCTGGATAAGGTGTCCTGGTGCCCTGGGTGGCCCTGTCCCCTGGACACCCTCATTCAGGGCGTGTCCCTTCAGCTGGAGGCTGGGATAGCCTGCTCATCTCCTTCCTCCTCTCCTCCCTTAGACTGTCTCTGCTCCTTTTCTCTTTTCCTGCCTTCCTTCTTTGCGTCCCGTCTTGCGCGGGCTGGTTGTCCCGGCTCGGCTTCCACTCTCCTGTCGCGTCTCCTCTCGCAAAGCAACCCGAGGAGAGACTCTAGGACCCTGCGTTCATCCCGCCCCTCCCCCTCTGACCCTCCTTCCCCAGCCCCAAACTTTCCCAGCTGTAGTGGAGGGGGCGGTCGAGGTCGAACTCTGAGTCCGGGCTGAGTCCCGCCCCCGCCCGCCCTCCTCTCCCCACCCAGGGCTCAGTGCAGGCGAGCCGCCCCCGGGACAGAGGACCCTTGGTTCGGTGAGTGCCCCGAGATGCCCGGGAGGTGGGAGGAGAAGGGGCTCAACCGGGGGTGGGGCTGGGGCTGGGGCTGGGGCGGGACGGAGGACGGAGGAGGGAAGAGGAGAGAATCGCTGATGTGGAAAGGGCAGATCAGCCCGCGAGCCTGGGACAGAGGAGGGAGGGACTTGGAGAGAGGAAAACAAGGTGGAGGTGGAGAAGGCAGTGCGATCCTGAAGGGCAGGGCAAGGAGAGAGGACTGGAGGGGACGGGACTCCGACAGGGGCCACATGGGGAGAGAGACAGCTTAGGGGATGCCTTTGCCGTTTCCGCGGGCGCAGGGAAACTTTTGGCTTTGGAGTCCTTTGGTATCCCTGGAGACCGGCTAGGCGGAGAGGGAAGAGGAGCATTTCCAGGAAAGGGCAGTGGGAGGGTGAGGTCCCTTTCCCTTGCACACCTCCTCAACATAGCCCAGGCCTCCTTCTCCTTCTCAGGGTCTCCCCCTTCCCATGGCCTCACCCCTTCCTGGCTTGGGGCGGGAGGGAAAGGAAGTCGGATATCCTGCTGAGATCCAAGGATCAGGGAGTGGAGGTGGTCTCTTGAATGGTATTTCTAGCAGGATAAGGGAAAATCCTGGAGGTGTTGGAGGGTGTAAGTCCCCAAAGGAGTGAACTGTGTCTGCACCTTCCCTCCCCCCCCCATCCTCACCCCGTTTTACCAGCTTGTCTCCGGCCCGGGCTTCCAGCCCATCCCAAGCACTTTACCATAGCACCTCACGGGCCCTGAGCCCCCACAGAATGGAAGATGGAGGGAGCCCCTTCCTGGGTCGGAGAGACTTTCTCTACCCACCCCCCACCCAAGGTAAGACTCAGATCCCTCTCCCGGCCCCTCCTAGATTCGAATCCATTAATCTAGCTCCTCTTTTTCATATTTTCCCTTGCCTTATTTGAGTGAGCTAGTGGGCATCCAAGGGGATCTTAACTCCCAACCCTTCTACTTGGTCTAACTCTACGTGACGCTGGCTTTGGTCTGCTGAGTTTTTGGTTCTCTACAGATCCAAATGGGGCAGAGCCTGGGGATGGCCTGGCAAAGAAAGAAGAGAAGAAGGTAAGAGGTAGCTTAGGGGCAGGATGTAATCAGGCCATGTACCAGGATATGGGGCTGGATTTTCCAGGGGGTGGGATACACTGGTATCATTTATAACTCTTGGAAGGATAGAAGTTTGGCTAGGAGTAAATTCTGTTCTTTCTCTCCTTCTGCTCAGATGAAGGCTGCACGGCTCAAATTTGACTTCCAGGCTCAGTCACCTAAGTAAGTGTCCCTTCTTTCTCTTTCCTCTGCCTTTGGGGAAGGAGTATCTCCAAGGCCCATTCAAGTACCCTGCCTTTCTCTCTGTATTCTAATGGGATAGGAGTTCAGAAGCTTGTACCAGTTATCTCCTATTGCCCCATGAAGAAAAGCCAAAACCAAGATTAGGCAAACGGGTTTTGTCTCAGGTGCTCTGTCAAATTTAGAGCCCCTAAAATCCACTATACCTCTTGTTGATATAGAGTAACTGTGTGCCAACAAATAGGAGTGTGACACCAACACTTCCCATTTCTCTAGCAAACAGTCTGCTTGGCATGGAGCTGACCTGACTTGAGTAGCCCGCACCCCTCCACAAGGCCTGAGGAAGTTGGACCCAGGCATGCTCTCTTTGTATAGGTCCACTATGGCACTAACAGCCTGAACTCACCTATCTGGTGGGGAGGGGATGCATGGTGGGGAGAAATTGGGGAGAATGGCTAGCTCTCAGTCTTTACACACCTATGCTAGGGAATGTGATGGGTACTTGTGTGTGTGCCACAGTGGAAAGGGGAAAGTGGGGTTACTCCTCTGTTTTTGAGAAGAGCCTCAGCTGTCCATCAACCTGACTGTCCTGGACTTGACCCATTTTACTTCAACCCAAAGGTTGAAGGAAGGCTTAGACTAGGGCATCACGGAAGGGAGCATCCCAAAAGCATTGGAGATAACAATGTCACAAACTTCTACCCAGCATTCCACCACTCCAGCACTGTGAGACTTCCTTGCCTTCCCAATCCCCACTAGCCAGGCTTCTTTGGAAATCTGAAGGAAGGGTCTGGAAGACTCCAAAGAATAATATCCATGGTGGGGTATGACAGTCCATGCCATGTCTTCCGGGGACCATGTAAATTCTTTTTCTTTTTTTTGTAAATAATATTTTAATTTTTCCAATTACATGTAAAGATAGTTTTCAACATTCAACATTCATTTTAAATAAGTTTTTGAGTTCCAAATTCTCCCTCCTCCCCATTCCCCAAGACAAGAAGCAATTTGATACAGGTTATACATGTGTAATGATGTTAAACAGACCATATAAATTCTACATAAGATATATGCCACCTCTTCTAATCCCCTATCAAGAATAGTTAGTTAAAATGGGAAGCTACTAAATGATCTACAGGGGATAAATTCTTTCCCTTACCTCACACCAGTTTCCTGGGGTGATCTGTCTTCAACTTTCAACCAAGGCTTCCTTTCCTGCCTCTTGACCCAGGGGCAAAGTTCCAAGTGATGACTCTGTCCACAAAGGAGTAATGATCCCTGGGGAGAACTTGGGACCTAGGTTTGAAGAAGGAAGTAAAAAGGACTCTTGTAGTTTTTGGACAGCCCCAAGGACATAGTCCCCTTTTCTATGACCTTCCCCTACCACCTTTTGATTTTGAGGGACCTATGAGTGACTTTTTGTGCATGGCCACCAGGGAGTTGACCCTGCAGAAGGGAGACATTGTGTACATCCACAAAGAGGTGGACAAAAACTGGCTGGAGGGAGAACATCATGGGCGGCTTGGCATCTTTCCAACTAACTATGTAGAGGTGAGTGAGGGGCTTCCTTGGTGGGGTGGAAACTTGGGTTCATCTCTCTCTCCTGGACCCAGAACCCTGTCATGTTCAGTCTGTCACCAAGCTCTGCTGTTTCTTCCTTGATAATACTTTCATCTGCATATCAGACCCAGCAATTGTGAATAACTCTCACCACCTAGTTTGTGCCAGGCACAACAATAACATTGTGTTACACAATAACAATAATAACTAACTTTATATAGTGCCTTGAGCACTTTTCCATTCATTTTCATTAGGTCCTCACAATAACCCTGTAACATAGGAAGTAATAATTTTTCTTAAAGAAAAGAAGAGAGATGATTTATTATAGAAGAGAGATCATACAAGTACCACAAAACAAATAAATAAACAAAGAACAATCAGTCTAGAATGTCAAGAGGGCCCATGGCTCATAACTAAATGAAGTGATTTGGGTCCAGTAGACCTGTCATTAAAACATGGAATGTCCTGTGTCAGGGAGCAGTCAAATGGTGCTAAGAGACCCGTGTCAGATGGTAGAGATAAGAGTTGTGGATCAAGTAGGACAGCAGGGATTCAGCCAGGTGTGACCAAGGGCCTGGCATTCCATAGCTCTGTTCCCTTGGCCTCAGTGGTCAGCATAGTCAGGTTCCTTACCTTTCTTCTCTTGTACTTGAGTCTGCAAATTGATTTCTTTTTCCACTTGGTGAAATGGAAATCAACAAGTTAGTGCTGAGATCAAGAGGGTAGTATACTTATTAGGCCCATTTAATAGATCGGGGAAGGGAGGCTTAGATGGTCATTGTTACACAGCTAGCAAGAGGCAGAGGCTCTTCTGACTTTGAATATAGTGTCCTTTCCACTATATCTCAACTGCCAATCAGAATGATCTAATTAATTTATTAAAGTGCTTACTCTGTAAGCCTAAAATTGTTTTGTAAATGTGAGTCATTTTCATCATGCCTTTCGCTCCCAGCAAAGGTGACCTTATATTGATTTGAGGGGTTGATTGCCTCTCCCTTCCCCTACTCCTATCTGTGACTCTCCAAAGGGTCCCTTTTTGATCCCAGAAATTTTACAATTAGCACTCATTTCTTTGGATTAAAATTTTGTCTAGTAGAATGTAAACTCCTTGAAGGTAGGAAATAGTCTTTATTTTTTGTCTTTCTGTCTTCAGCATCTCTGTCTCTATAGTGACTCTTTATCATCAGTTTCCTTTTTTGTTTATTAATTCTTCTAGCCCTAATTCCTGAATTAATGTATTTGTTTATTGTCTTCTCCCATTAGATTGTAAGCTCCTTGAGGGCAGGGAATGTCTTTTGCTTTTCTTTGTATGTTCAGTGCTTAGCACCACTGTGCACATAGTAGGAGTTTAATAAATACGTATTGGCTGACTCATTAAATTGGGACTTTATCTCAGGGCCAGGTTCTGTGCAATTTGGGAGGGAATATTAGTTCCTTGTATTGTCCTGATCTGTATTATTGGGGGTCCTGCCTCTACTTTCTCTGGGTTTTGGGTGCTGTGTTCTTCAAGGAGCTCAGGAACAGCTTGACCTTATAGATTCTTAGTAAATGTTTTGGGTTGTTGTTGATCACCTATTGAAGTGGGGTTTTAATCCTATGTTTTAATTTTATTAATTTTTTTATTCCTCATTTTAATCCTAATCCTCTTTTGGATTAGGTATTCAGTTCAACCGAGCAAGCACTTATTAAGCACTTAAAATGGTTTGTGCCAGGCATTGTGCTCAGTGCTGAGGATACAAAGATGAAAGTGAAACAATTGTCCTCAGGGAGCTTCCATTTTGGTCTGGAGTTATGATGTGTACACTATGTAAATAAATACAATGAACCCTGAGGGTCTTCCCTTCCCAGTTTGATTTTTTTTTTTTATTAAAGGGGCCATCCCTTGACTCACTTGTTAAAGAGGCCTATTCACTGAATGGGTGTTGCTTCACTCAAAGTGAGAACTTGGAAAGACCTTTGCTTAAAAGGGCCAAGGTCTCCCACTGCATATCCTGGGCCATTTCTAGTCATCTGGCCACTGGACCCAGATGGCTCTGGAGGAGAAAATGAAGCTGGTGGCCTTGCACAGGGCTCCTTCACTCAAATCAAAGTCAATTGCAAGTCATGTCATCATCTTTCCGATGTCATAGTCCTCTTCAAGACAGACCACACACAACACAGTGTGATTTGGGGGGGGGGGGGTGTGAGGAGAGAACACCAACAATTACAGGGATCAGGACAGAACTTAGGTAGGAAGTGTTACCTGGGTTGAGCCTTGAAGGAAGTTAAGGATTCTAAGAAATGAAACTGAGGAGAGAGAGCATTCCAGGCACAAGTGACAGAAGTGTACTATCATGTATAAGGATAACTAACAGGCTCTAACGTATCATTCACAATAGAGAATAAACATATTAAGTCCCTATCAGTCACACATACAACATGATATATGTCCCTTTTCCCTGGAAAGGAATGAGTTTTATAGTATCCTGAGAGACCTTGAAAATTGGGGCACCTGAGGGAGTGAGAAGGGAGGGCACTGGGGAAGATAAATCACCTAATTAAAGATTTTGCCTAAGGCTGGCAGCTTCTCGTTGAATTGAAAACTCTTAATTCTGGACTTGAGGGCCTTCCACCAATCTGATCTCATGCTCTTCTACTGCCACCCAGACAAATAACTTACTCACACTCACCCTCCCACCCCTACTCCTTTCCCTCCAGGCTCCCCTTGGCCTTCTACACTGCAATTCAAGCCTCATTCCTGGGACTCCGCCTGTCCCACCCACACCCACCTTGTTCCCACTTCCAGATTTTTGCACATACCTTTCTCCACCTGGAATGCACATACCTTCTCTTCAAAATAACTTAAGACTTAGTATTTGCTGGCTGTGTCTCTTACCCATTTGTTACTGATGTCTGTGAAATTTAGGCTTTTTAAATGAGCATTTTTTATGTATTTGTTCTTTCCTGCACATTCATTTTTATAAAAATGTCTTTTGCCCGAGAAACTCAAAATACTTTGTTTACAATTAAGTAAGTTAGCCTCACTTTTTGAGACAAGATTGAAGTGAAAAGAATACTAGATTTGGAATCAGAGAATCTGGGTTCTGAACCCTGTATGACCATGGGCAAGTAGCTTAACCCTTCTGGGCCTCATTTTCTTAATCTGCAAAATAAGGGGATTTGAGTAGATTACCCTTCTCAAATTATATCCCTGATCTGTAAATTCTTTGCTTAAGGGCTGACTGTGCTGGTAAATGTTTTACAACCAGCCAGGGTGGGGTGGAAAATGTTTGTAGTACACACTTAAGTTTAATTTGCACTATTCATATTTTCTCACTTTCTTAGACATTCAACCAAGTAATAAATCAAGCTCTAATTTGTATCGATTTCTGAGGTGTAAATAAATGCTCCCATCAAAAATTTAACTGTTAGCTCTTAAGGTAGGAACTGGCCCCAGCCCACCACTGTCCAGGTCCCAAGTTGTCTTCTTCCAAGAGATGCTAGATTGGAAGTCAGCAAGGGCTGGGTTTGAATAGTGTCTCAATTAGATGCTAGCTGTCTAATACTGGCCAAGTCACAACTATGATCAGCCTCAGTTTCTTCATTTGTAAAAGGGGGTAATACCTGTGCCACAGGATTTTGTGAGGATCAAATGAGATGATGCCTATGAAGTACTTTACAAACTGTCTGGTACAAAGTAAATGAGGATCTTATGAAGAGTAACTCCTTGCTATGAGTCCCCAAGTGCATGTTTAATAAATATTGTTTAGTTGTTTTTGATACTGTCCTCCTCTTTGTGACCCCTTTTGGGGGTTTTCTTGGTCCTAGAGTGGTTTGCCATTTCCTTCGACAGCTTATTTTACAGATGAGGAAATCGAGGCAAACAGGGTTAAGTGACTTGCTGAGGGTCACACAGCTAGTAAGTATTTAAGGCTGGATTTGAACTCAGGTCTCCCAGACTCTATCCATTGGGCCACCTAGCTACCTTATACAATGGGTGGCTGACCCAGGAGTCTTTGTCTCTTCTTCCCTTTTATCCCTTCCAGGTGCTGCCCCCAAATGAGATCCCAAAGCCCATCAAACCCCCAACCTACCAGGTACTGGAATATGGAGAGGCTGTGGCCCAGTACAACTTCAAGGGGGATTTGGAGGTGGAGCTGTCCTTCCGAAAGGTGAGTGAGCCACTTGCTCAGAGGGAGAAGGGGTGAGGGGCAGGGGAAGTTTCAGCTGAATATCAGAATTGGGGGGAGAAAGGGAGAAAATAATAGTCAAACAACCCCCCACATATCTGGAACTTTTCCTTTCTTGACTTGTTTGGATAAAATATTTTCCTTCCCTCTTGTGGCTGGCTTCAGAACCACATTTCCTGTGAGCTGTAAGTGCCAGGAGGGCAAGAACTGTGGCTCTTTCTGGATCAATTTTTATAGTGTAAAATGTGACCATAAACAACAAATATCATTTTCTGTTTGGGCAAAGGAGGGGTGGGAGGTGGTAGGAGGATTGAAAGAAGCCAGAAGAGGAGGGGGAGAAAAAAGAATAGAAGAACATCAAGAAAGGGACTTGGAAATTGAGGGAAGAAGGAGAGAGGAAGAGAAATAGGAAGGAGAAAGAGGCAAAAAGAGTTCTAAGGAACCTCTAAGTCCCTCTCCACTTTAAACAATCCACATGTGTTGAGAACTTGCTATGAGGTGGACCTTAGGGAGGAGACAGAGGCCTGTAAGTTTCTAAATGTGTGGTTTTTAAAAAAAAAAAAAAATTTTCTTTTTTTCTTTTTGGAGGCAATTGGGGTTAAGTGACTTGCCCAGGGTCACACAGCTAACTCTAGTCCTCCTGACTCCAAAGCCCATGCACTATCCACTGAGCCACCTAGCAGCCTCTAATCAGTCTCTTTTCTTTTTCTTTTTGTAATTCTTTTTATTTTTAGTTTTCAACATTTACTTCCACAAGATTTTGAGTTCCAAATTTTCACCCCCTCTCACCCCTCCCCCCACCCCAAGATGGCATGCATTCTGAATACCCCTTCCCCTAGTCTGCTTTCCCTGCTATCTCTTCCCCCCCTTCCCCTTCTATTTTCCTGTAGGGCAGGATAGATTTCTGTACCCCATTTCCTGTATTTCTTATTTCCCAGTTGCATGTGATCAGCCTCTTTTCAAATAAAAAAAAGTTTATCTGCAACAAACTCACATAATCTGGTTGGGTAGATAAGACTAAGGTGAAAAGATAACAATTTGGACTGGGATTGGGGAAGGAACTCCAGATAGGTGAAGGGCCTAAGGTGGGAAAGGGTTAGAATGTTTTGGGTATGATTAGTGTATCTGCTGGTCTGGGGGAGGAGGGGTCATGATGGGAAGACCTGGTTGGGAGCTCCATTTTCCTCCTCCTCCTCTCTTCCCTGTAGGGTGAGCGGATCTGCCTGATAAGGAAGGTGGATGAAAACTGGTATGAGGGGCGCATCTCAGGGACTGGACGACAGGGCATCTTCCCTGCCAACTACGTCCAAGTCTCCAAAGAACCCAGGCTCAAGGTCTGCGAAGATGGTCCTCCTCCCACCCACCTGACCCTGGCTGGCTCCCAAGTCCCTGGGTCCCCACGCCTGGGCACCTCTCGCCTAGCAAGGCCATCTGGTTCCCCCTCTGCACCCCAAAGCACAGCTGACACCACCGACTGGGGGGGCCGAACCTCTCCCTATCGTACTGGTTTTGCGTTTCGTTCCAGCACCCAGGAACCTTCCCCATGGACCTCTCCATCCAGACCTCAGAGCCAGGTGACTCCCAACTTCCCGTCAAGAGAATGAGGCATCCTAAGTCAGCGAGAAATCCCCTCTTTAGACATAAGAAATCTACTTCTTCCCATTTCTGTAGCCGGTAGGGGAAAATGAGACATTTATTCCAGGTAGACCACTGAATGCAAAATAACCAGTGCAATGGGACATATTGCCTTTGAGCAGAGTAATGAAACATGTCTATTGGAGTTTGGAGTTAGAATGTGGTCCCGAAAGCATACGGGGCACTTTGGCAAATTGAAATCTTCTTGTGGGGCACTGATAGTGGCTATTAAGCACACAGGTCCCTGCCCTCCACAAATACTATGTTATCTTAGCCTTGAGCACTGTATTTATATTGAGCTGCATTTCAATTAAGATTTTCTGGTCCTTTTATGTCATATTATATTTACATATGAATAAACAGGCATTTTAATTACTCTAAATATAGCAAAACCTACAAACAGGAATGGGATAACTTGGGACCTTGCATCCTGCCCCACCTTCCTTTGTTTGCCCAGTAGTCTGTGGTAGAGCCTGAACCAGAAGAAGGAGAGATCACTGTAGGCAGGAGTAGTCAGGAATGCCAACTGTAAGGGAGCCTCGGTCCTAGGACGTGGGTCCCATTTGTGTACCCTGTGTAGTGCAGTGGTTAGAGTGCTGGGCCTGGAGTCAGAAAGACACATCTTCATGAGTTCATGAGCCTCAGAGACTTACTGTCTTCGAGAACCTGAGCAAGTCACTTTACCCTATTTGCCTCAGTTTCCTCATCTGTAAAATGACCTGGAGAAGGCAATGGCCAGCCACTCCAGTATCTTTGCCAAGAAAACCCCAAATGGGGTCATGGAGAGTTGGACGTGACAGAAATGATACAACAATAATAACAGAACAACTCCACTGTTCCATCCCATGTTACAGCAGCCTCCAGGGGTCACTTGGACAGAGTGCAATGCCAGTTACTTCATCATTTCCTAAAAATCCAAGCATTTTGAATGTTCATGCCTCAGTTACCTATATATAAAATAGGGATAATAAAACCCTACATACTTTCTGAGTTCATGGTTTGAATAAAGTGAGCCAATGTATGGAACCATGTTGAAAAGGGTTTAAGATGCAATTATTATTCTCTTTAGCCCATAGTATCCTTTGACAGTTTGTGTCTTGTCTACCTTCATTGCACACACACTTCAAAATAACCCATACTTTTCTCATTATTCACCTTTAGGGTCTTGGTGCCTCTAGGACATTACCATCCCACCACTGGGGTCCCAGCCCTCACCAAGACTCTTCTTCTTCCTCTTCTGGATCCTCTAATATTCACTGGACCCCGTGAGTATGAGTTGAGGAGGAGTCAGATGGGGATGGGAGATATTATAGGGCATGTGGCCTAATGAGAAAAGACTTTCACAGTCAGCGCCACTAAGGAAACTAAATACAATTTAATTCAATAAGTAAACCCAGCCCTATGGGTTGGGAAAAGTGGAAGACAATAGAAGTATATGAGGTAATCTCTGTTCTTTCAGGAATATTTTAATCTATATCTGGGGTTAGCAAACTATGACTTCTGGGCCAAATCCAGCAGCCAAAAAATGTAAAAGCCATTCTTAGCTCCCATGCCAGACAAAGACAGGTGAAGGCCACATTTGGCCCATGGGCCATAATGTGCCAATCCCTGACCTAGATGGAAAAGTGAAAAAACAGATGAACAGATGTGCTATATACATGTGAATTTATTATTAACATTATTGCTATTGGTTGTTGATGATAATATAGGAGATTCCTGGCTCTTCTCTCCACAAATCCCATTTACTCTCTGTGCCTTAGTTTATCTATAAAATTAGAGGTTGGATTGAACCATCTCTAAGGTCCCTTCCAGCTCTGAACGTCTGTGATTCTGTACTTGTCTTAAAATGACTGACACAGACTCCCGAGAAAGGAGAGAGAGAGAGAGCGGTCAGTGTGGCTCAGGGGCCCAGAAAAAGGCTTCCTGGAAGAGATGAGGCTTGAAGGATGGGTTAGGTTTGGAAGGGAAGGAACAGTGCAGTGGGAGAACAGATTCTCTGACTTTTCTGTGAAGGAGAGTGTACAGAAATGAAAAAAGTTTGCTGAGTGAAGGTGAGGCAGGGGATGGTTTGGGCTGGAGACCTACCTGATTTGGAAGGGGCTGGACTGGGGAGAGGTGAAGATGCTCATGGTTACCACAGCAGTATCTTCCCTCAGGTACCGGGCAGTATATCGATATTGGCCTCAGAATGAAGATGAATTGGAGCTTCGGGAAGGAGACCAGGTGGATGTCATGCAGCAGTGTGACGATGGCTGGTTTGTGGGTATGATGAGCCCCGGGGGATGGGGAGGACTCTTGTTGGTGTCAGCACTTGGGAGTAGGCGTGGTGAGACTGGGCCAGCCTTCCTTTGCCTCAGCTACTGACAACTTAGAGGCCAGGGCCATTCACTACTCAGGCAGGTGACAGGAAAGGTCTTGATTTCTGTAACATCTTTCTTTTCTTTTTTGTTTTTTGTTTGTTTGTTTGTTTTTAATTTTCAGTTCCAAATTCTCTCCCTCCCCTACCCATTGAGAAGGCAAGAAATATGATACTTGTTATGTGTAGCATCTTTCAAAGCATTCCTTTCATTCCATTTAATCCTCACAATACACTTTATCCAGGTAGAGGAAACAGGTACAGAAGCATGATTGGGCTCCTCCACTTCTGCTTCTTGGAGCTACTAAGGAAGCATCCCTACTCAAGAGCTTATGTTCTAATGAACACTTACTGACTGTGGGACCCAGGACAAATCATTTAACTCCTCCATGCCCCAGGGAGCTCTCTTTAAAACTAGAGCACAATTCAGTCTGGATCAGTAGAGGCCTATCCTTACTGGGGGTCAACTTTTTCTGATGAAAGCAGTGGCCCGCTCCCCCATCCCTGAAATAAGTATTAATATTATTAGCACTTACCTCGAAGCTTGTTGTGTATTTAAATTGCTTTGTAGATTTTAACCTGCTATATGATTGGCAGAGTTATTATTGTTACTTATTAATTAATAAGTAAAGTTAAATGAATATTGGTTGAATTAATATTGATTTAATTTATAATGATGGCTTAATTGTTATTGTTATTTATTGTGTGACCCTGGGCAGGTCCCAACCTCTCTGAGATTCAGTTTCCTCACGTGTAAAATAGAAATAATAACACTTACCTTACAAGGTTCAAAGAATTAAACAAGAACACACACATGCACACACACACACATGCGCACGCATACACACGCGCACTTTATGAACCTTAACTTGCTACATAAATGTTGGTCTTTGTTATAATTATTAATCGTTGTTGTTATATACCATGCTGACTTTCCATGGAAAAACATTTAGTGTTTAACCCATTAACAAGTATTGAGTACCTCCTCTGCCCAACCCTGGGCTTGACTGAGACCAGGTTTTAGAGAAGAGTAAAATACAGCCACTAACCTTAAGGATCTCACATTCTGGCTGAGGAAATATGACTCCCTTGGCTGGCATGTAGAAAGCACTTTATCAATACCTGTTGATTGATTAATATCACTGAAGGGAGACAACATGAACAGATAGATATTTGCAAAATAATTTGATGAAGAAGAGAGCACTAACAAGGGGGAAAGAAAAGGCTTCCTATAGGAGGTAAGACATGGTCTGATTTGTGAAGGAAACTAGGACTTCTAGGAGGTAGAAGTAAAAGAGAAATATATTGCGGGTATGGGGGATGGCCTGTGCAAAGGCTTAGAGGTGAGATGAGAAAGTAGTAAGTCAGCCACTTCAGCTGGAACGTGAAGTGTGCAGGGGAGTGCGACCTCATAATCCTGGAAGCTAAATTGTTGAAGTCTTTAAATGCCATGCTGAAGAGCCTGGGTTTTGTGCTGGAAGTAATAAGGAGCCACTGAGGAATCTTGAGTAGGGGAATGACAATGGTCAGACTTGTGCTTTAGGAAGGTTATGTTGGCAGCTATGCTGAGCATGGCCTGGAGAGAGCCTGGAAACAGAGTCTGATCAGAGGGCTGTTACCGTGATCGGTGAGAGGCAATGAAGGCCTGAACGTATTAGGGGAAATACGGACACGTGAAACATATTGTGGAGGGGAAATGGGCCAGTCTTGGAAATGGATTGAACGTGGGGATTCGGGGAGAGGGAATAGTCGAGGATAACTCTTGAGGTTGTGAACCTTACTGGGATAGTGATATTCTCAAAAGACAGACGAAGTGACGAGGAGTAGGATTTTAGGGGTAAAGGTAAGTTCCTTTGTGGACGTGTTGAATTGAGATGTCCACTTGGCATTCAGTTGGAGATGTCCAACAAGTAATTAGTGATGTGGAACGGGAGTTCAGAAGAGAGCTCAGAGCTGAATATATAGAATTGGGATTCATTTGCATAGAAATGGTCATTGAATCCACAGGAATGAATAAGATCACCAAGAGAGATGTTGAGAAAGAAGAAAAGAGCGTCCAGCACAGAGCCTTTGGTAACACCCAGGGTTAGGGAGTGAGACATGGATGAGAATCGTACTTGACAGAGAAGGACTAGAGGGAGAATCAGGAGAGGATAGTGTCACAAAACCCCGGGGAGGAGACAGTATCCAGGGAGGAGCAGTATCAAACAGTGTCAAATAATGCAGAAAAGATATGGAGAAAAAGCTGCTAAATTTAGAAATTAAGAGAGCAGTCTTGGTGAGAGTTGTTTCACTGAATTATGAGATCAGAAACCACATTCCTAAGGGCTTGAAAGTGAGTAGGAAGTAAGAAGAGGCAATCAGTGTGTAAAAGTATTTTTAGGAGTTTAATTGTGAAAGGAAGGAGAGCGATAGGGTGGTAGCTTGAGGGGATGGCAGGGTCCCATGAAGGTTTCTTGATAAAGATTTAGATGAATTTGCAGGTAGAAGCAAAGGAGCCACTTAATTTGGAGAGCTTGAAAAATAAAAGATGGCAAAGAGATGGTTGAAGGGGAATGGTGCTGGAGGAGATGAGAGGTGATGACATCAAGGGCATAAGTAGAGGGGTTGACTTTGTCGAGAAGAAGGGCCACTGGGGCAGCTAGGTGGCATGGTGGATAGAGCACTGGCCCTGGAGACAGGAGGACCTTAGTTCAAATCTGGCCTCAGATATTTACTAGCTGTGTGACCAACACTTTTGATCATTTAAAAAAAAAAAAAAGACCACCTCTCTGTCAGAGACAAGGAGGTGAGAATGGCAAATGATGTTAAGAAGTTTTGAGATTTAGAATTGGGGAGAAAAGGGCTTTCACATTAGGTGGCCTATATTTTCTTGGTAAGATAAGAGCTTTTGCTGAAAAGGAAGGGAGACAGGCTGGAGTAGAACAGTGATGTCAAACTCAAATAGAAACAGATTCCTGCCCCCTTTATATTGACTTAGAAAACCACAAATTAACATTATCTATGTTGTATGTTTATTTTGTTAAATGTTTCCCAATCACCTTTTAATGGGTTCTGGATGAGTTGGCTTGCTGTGAGTTTGATGCTTGTGGAGAAAGGTTAGAAAGGTTCCGAGCAGCTGCTGTTGGGAATTTGATAGTAAATCAATTAAAGGAAAATACCAAGATTGCCATAGACCAATGAGGATCTAGTTGAGATAAGATTTCATTCATTTGTAGCAGTTTGCAAAATACAGTTGTTTGACTTCCTTCATTAATATTCATCAGTAGATGGGTAGGAATGATGAAGATAACTTATGGGGGTAACCCAAGGTTTGGGTTTGGCAAAATATAAGCAATGATTAGACCAGGGGACAAGAGATTTGAGAGAAGACATTGAACTGATTAGCTAGCTATAAGGTCAGAGTTATGAATGGGTGGGGGGACATGAGGCTAGAGAAGGGGTGATGGCTCAGGAGAGATAAAATAACTGGAGGGCCTAGTGAAGACAAATATGGAAGAGTGAGGTGAAGGAAGAGATGGGAAAGTAGAGATTGTGATCAGATCATGGAGTTAGAGCACTTTTAGTGTGTTCAGGGATATGACCCACCCTGTCTCTGGCTAGGGTCAGATGAAGGAGGATCATGGGAGTGAAGGAAACTGATTTTGAGGGCACATCCACGTGAATATCAAGATCCTCAAGTGTAAGGATAGGGATTGTGTTGGAGAGGAGGACTCTGAGGCAGGTGCTGAGCTCCTGGACAAAAAAGGGCAGACAGCCCACAACTGGATAGCATGATATTAGCAGAGGCAGTGAACCTCAAAGGAGAATTATACCGGTTAATGTTTAACAGCCATTTGCGTGGCACACTTATAAGTTTAATTGCATCATTAATATTTTCTCCATCATTTCCCAAAGTTTAGACAATGAACAAAACATAAGTCAAGCCTGATTTGTAGGTTTAATGATATCTGAGGTGTAAATGCTCAAACTGAAATTTCAACAATTGGCTGGCTCCAACACACCCCTATTCCTGAGTGATGGTAGTAGAGAGAGGGTCTGGTGGAGGGGCTGAGAAGCAGGGCGTATGTGTGCCTTCTCTTTTTCCTGGCCCAGTGTGTAGAAGGGCAGGAGAGAAGGGGCACCCCCTCCTGAAGAGAGTGGCCAGACCCGGGGCGGGAAGGGGTGGGGAGGGGGAGAAGATGGGAGTCATGTGAGAGAAAGGGGGCCCAGTGGTACGAGAAGAAAGACTTGGTTAGGGACTTGTGAGGGGTGAGGCTGAGGTGGATGGTATTGAGAGAGTAGAGAATGATACTGGGAAAAAAAAGGTTTTCACCTAGGCAATTCTAAACTCCTTAATAATAACAATAACAAAAACTAACATTTATGTGGTCTGTTAAGATTTGTAAGGTCTTTACATATACTATAAAATTTACTTATAAATTTAATTTTAACATTTAATAACATTTTAAAATATTAAATATCTTTAATATTTACACATTTGCATTGTTGTTGATCAGGCATTTTCAGTTGTGTCCAACTCCTTGTGACCTCTTTTGGGGTTTCCTGGGCAAAGATACTGGAGTGGTTTGCCATTTTCTTCTCCAGCTCATTTTACAAATGCAGAAACTGAGGCAAACAGGGTGAAGAGACTTGCCCAGGGTCCTACAGCTAGTAGGTATCTGAAGCCAGATTTGAACTCAGGTCTTCTTGACTCCGGGCCCTGTACTCTATCCACTGAGCCATCTGGTTCTGTGCACATGCACATATGTATATGTGTGTGTATGCATGTGTGTACACATACATATATGCATATATACACGTTATATGTGTGTATATATATTCTATAGCTTTCTTTTCCTTTTTTTTTTTTTTTTGGTGAGGTAATGGGGGTTAAGTGACTTGCCCAGAGTCACACAGCTAGTAAGTGTTATGTGTCTGAGGCTGGATTTGAACTCAGGTCCTCCTGATTCTAGGGCCGGTGTTCTATCCACTGTGCCACCTAGCTGCCCCTGTATAGCTTTCTTTTTAAAAGATTAATGTTTTTTTTTAAAAAAGATTAATGCTTTTCTTTTTATATCAGAATCATATATATATATAGATCTATATCTATCTATCTATCTATATGTATGGATCTATATATCTATATCTATATATATGTATCTATATCTATCTGTATCCTCCTCTCCTTTCACCCAGTAAGGCTTCTCTTGTAATAAAGGGAAAAAAAGGTTAAAAAAAAACTGATTTAGAGATCTTGTTTTATAACATTCTGGACCCTGGTGCTCTTCCTCTCATGGGATCATAGATTAGAGCTGGAAGGGACCTTAAGAGGCCATTAAGACTGCCATCCTTGTTTTAGTGATGAGGAAACTGAAGCCCAGAGAAGTTGAGTCACAAAGGGTCACAAAGCTAGTAATATCTGAGGCAGACTTTGAATCAAGGTCTTCCCGACTCTAGGGTCAGTGCTCTATCCATTACTCCACTGCCCCTTACTATTCCATGTTGCTGCCAATGAAGGGAGGGAGGTGACTGAATATCCTTCCTAAAATTCAGTACTGCGTGCCCAGCACTGTAGACAATGCTTTATATAGTGGTTGGACCAGGACAGAGTACAGGGGTGGCTTCCACTTCCTCATTACTGGAAGCTTTGCAACGTAAGATGACCCTCACTTTCTTGGCTGCTACATCAGACTCGTTGCTCATATGGTGCTTGTGGTACTCTAAAACCTGCAGATCTTTTTGTGAGTGAGTGTGTGTGTGTGTGTGTGTGTGTGTGTGTGTGTGTGTGAGAGAGAGAGAGAGAGAGAGAGAGAGAGAGAGAGAGAACACATAAGTGAGCACTATAGAATGTCTAAAGGTCAGCAGTCAGGATGGTCTATGGCTTGTGGAGATGAGATAGAGAAACTGGGGGATTTTTAGCTGGAGAAGAGAGGATTCAACAAGGCTGTGATAGCTGTCTTCAAAGAAGACAAAATTAGACACAGAGAAGAATGATTAGAATTGTTCTGTTTGACTGTAGAGTGCATAACTAACAGGAATTGATAAAAGTTGCAAAAATAAGTAAATTAGGCTTAATGTCTGGAAAAACTTTCCTACAGCCAGTTGGCCAAATATGGAATGAGCTGCTTGGTAAGCTTGTGGGTTCCTCCTCTCGGAAGTCTTCAGGTTGGGTACTCGTAGGGTATGTTTCAGAAAGGATTCATTTTCAGGTGGTTGCTGAAATTCTGTGATTCCAGTAATGTTCATTATTCTATATCCTCCCCCAAAGGAAGATGTTTATATCTGAGTCGAACTGCTTTCCCACTGGCAAAGTGATTTGATTTGGCAGTGTGAGACCCAGACCTTAGAAGGGTGGTGTGAGACTGGATGCTTTGAAGTGGACTGAACACCTAGAATTATAGAATGTGAAAGCTATAAGGAATCTTTGAGGTCATTTAGTACAACCCTTGCATTTTATAGACCTGGAAGTTGAGGGATGGAGAGGGAAAGGGACCTGCCCAAAGTCACACAGAAAATAAATGACAAGTCAGAACTGGAACACTGATCTGTAGTCTTGAGTGCCCCTCCCCACTCCTTCTAAACCACCCCGCCTCTCTAAGTGATGCATAAGGACCTTCCGTGAGGAAGGGATGGGTGGGGTTATTCTTTCATTCCTGAAGGACCAATCTCTTTGTATTCCCTTTGACACCTTTGCCTTGCATATACAATCTATTCTGAACAAACACTTGTTTGTTCTGACGGATATTGATGGGGGGCTTGTGAATTAGTGGAGGGTGTCAGATTGGGAGGACCTGAGTTCAGATTTTATCTCTAATACTTAATGAAAAACCTTGGGGAAGGTTCTTATCCTTTCTGGGCCTCAGTGACTCATTGATAAGACGAGGGAGTTGAATGGGAGGGCCTCTGAGGTCCTCGCCAGTTAGCGTATATGCTGTGAGTCAGCTGTGATTGCTTCTTGCCCTTCTAGGCTTCTGCCACCAGGGGGTAGGAGTTAGAGACTGGAAAGCACCCTCTACCTCCTGGCTGCTATAGAGATAAGTGGGCTAGAGCAAGTTTTTGGGTCATTGTCAGCAGAAGGGGGATTGAGATTGGTTTGTTTGTTTGTTTATTTGTTTGTTTTTCCCCTAGCATCTCCTCAACTCGCATAGCTTTTTTTTTTTAAAAAAGATAGAATTGTATTGATAATTTTGTTTCCACATCCCTCCTATTTCCCTGGATCCCTCCTCACCTCTGAGAGCCACCTCCCATAACAAAGAATTTTAAACCAAAACAAAAACAGTTTAGCAAAACCAACACATCACAAATGCACGATGCCAGTGTTCTGCACCCGTGGTCCCCATCGCTGTTAAGGCATGTGCCTCCCCAGGTTTCATATTTCCATTCCTTCCCTTGCAGGTGTCTCCCGGAGGACCCAGAAATTCGGAACATTCCCAGGAAACTATGTGGCCCCCGTGTGAGTGGGCCCTTTGGCAGCCTGGAGCAAGCCCAGAGCTCTGCCGTAGGAGGGCCCGGCCCGGGGGTGGGGAGAAGGGGTGAGGGTAGGGGAGGTGCTGCATTTAGGGCACTGATGGCGAGGGCTCCCTCTGTAACCCCCCCCCCTTCCTCAGCTAACCCCCACTGCCCACAGACAGCTGCTTTGTTGTGGTGTTTCTCTAAGACCCGAGGGAGGATGGGGGTGGGGCATCTGCAGGATGCTACGGCTTCTTTGAGGCCCCATCCTGTGTCAGACACAACCGCCACCCTCCCTGCCTTAGGGGACCTGGAAGAACTCTGCCCTCAAACTCACAGACATTCCTCTAACAGCCCCGTCCTTCACCGTAGAGCTCTCCTCCACCGAGGACTAGTTCCCAGCCTCATTGAGACCAGACCTCCTCTCATTGTCTCCACCCCTCCCCGTCCCTCATGTCCTGTAACAAGGACCAACTTCTTAACTTAATGGGTTCCAAATGCTTCCACCTGGAAGGGCCAAATTCCATCTTGCCTTCTCTGCAGCCTACTCCTCCTTTTCTTTGCTAGCTGAGCTGGGCAAAGGGGGAGGTGGGCAGGCAGCAGTGAGGGGCCATTTTCCTGCTCTCCTTCTCACAGCTCCCAGTAGGGTTGAGCCTTTAAAGCTAGTATTCTGATCCTGTAGTCCTGGGACACTCAGGCTGCACATTCTCCCGCCAGTGACACCCTTGTTCTCCCCTTGGACAGATTGTATAATAAACCTGGACACACCTTTCTTGACTCTGAGGCTTTTTTTGTTGGGGCCGACCATTGTTTTTTGTTTTTTTTTTCTCTAAGAGAGGAAGAGGTTTGCCACCATGAACTTTAGCCCTGCCGTGGAACTGCCATGAGGCTCATCTCCACGGTCACCCACCCCTCTGTCTTCAGGGGATGAGGCACAATTTGACAGGGATAGTGCAAAGATAACTTCCATGTGTGACTGGAGAACGTGGAGAGAAGAGTGGATGACTGGGGAGGAGCCAGAGATTATGAAGGGGGAGGGGAGGCCACCCTCGTGGATTCTGGGGCAATCGCAGACTGGCCTAGATGAGATGACATACATTGATAATTACTCTGTTGGTAATGTTTTCCGTGTGTGTGAGAGAGAGAGAGACAGAGACAGAGAGAGAGAGGGAGTGTTAGTTGTAACTGCAGAGGTTGGAATCATGGCAGGGTTAGAAGGCAGCCCAGTCCATTCTCTGATGTAGCGTGTCTACCGTGTGTACCTCTGTCCCCTAGGTATCTAAGCCAGAGGCCTTCTTGTGCCCCTGTCATAGCAGAGAAGGGCTGTTCAGGAAGGGGTTTTTTATGGGGCTCAGAGGGGGTTCATCTATCACAGCTCTCAGGTGCCTTTATAAGCCTTATCCCTTCTGTAGCAGGCCAGGCCTGACCCAAGCCAATCTGGTACATCAGGTTCAGGAGCAGAACAAAGTGAAACAGGAATTTCGGATTTAAGATTAGAAGAAAATGAAAAAAAGAGATTTCATTAGTCATAGTCAGGGAAGGATACATAAATCAGGGAAAATATTTTTTTAAAATATTTTTATTTAAAGCTTTGAGTTCCAAATTCTATCCCTCCCACCCTGTCCTCCCCTCTCCTCTCCCTGAGACAGTAAACAATCAGATATAGGTTATTCATATGCAATTATGTAAAACATTTCAGGGAAAACATTTTAATTGAGGCTATGACATTGATTCAGCACAAGTGCCAGGTTTGGCTGTGATGATCCATGGGTCATAAGCCAAAGGGAGGAGTCAAGTGACTCTACCTGCTCAGGAAACCACTTCAACTGCCCAAGCCTTTAATGACCTGAACCAATTAAGGCTCCAGGACAGTTTCAATACCTTTTAAGTGAAAACTAGCCTGACCTGCTTGGGGCTGGACCTTAGGATATTGGTGCCACCACACCCTCCCTGAAGCTAAATCTCAAAGGTTTTATAGAGCTGTCAGTACCCTTTGGAATCCCCAGGCTTCAGGTGGATTGGAAGGAGCAGTATTTAATTTGGAAAGTGAATGAGTCAGGTGGTGCCCAGTTGGGCCTGGACAGATTTGGGAGGGCTTTGAATTTCAGAATTGAGTCCTGGGACCCTAACATCTTGGTAAGAATCTGGGGTGTGTGGAGTGGGGGGCTGTGTGTTCACATGCTTGTACCTTTGAGGAGGATTGAAGAATGAAATCAACCTCTCAGTAGCTTCTATCTACTTCACCATGACCCCAACAATGATGTGATCCCTATTCCTTAATCACTCCATGTACCCCAATTCAAGTGTATAATCTCTGTCTCCTCTCACATAACCCAATATACATAGAAAAGACGTAATATATGAGATTTCCTTTTGCCTGGGGCAGAAGTCAAATTCTCATCCTTTCTATTGGGACTTAAACAGCAACAGACAAATCGGTGGTGCCCCCTGGGCTGGGTCTGGGCTAGGGATAGGGAGCCTCCAGGGGCATGGCACAGAGGGCAAAGTGAGGAGCGCTTTCTAGTATGTTGGGTTTTAATAAGAGCATATTTTTGGGTTCCTCTATGGCCCATAGGTATTTATTTTGAGACTGAATCAATCATGCAGCAGAGAAGCCTCCGGCGGATACATATCTTGTATACACACACACCACAGTGAAGTAAAACAGGGCTCTTGAAGCTGTTTTCATATAATAATATCATTTATGTAGCCATATAAGGTTTGCAAAGTTATTTACAAATATTCTCATTTTAACCTTCCAATCCTGTGAAATAGGTGCTATTATTATCTCCATTTCACAGATGGAAAAAACTGAAGCAGAAAGAGGTTAAGTGACTTACCCAGGGTCAGACAGCTAGTAAGTGTCTGAGGCAGGATTCTAGAGTCTAAAGTCTAGAACTTTATCCACTGGGGCCACATAGATACCTTATATCAACCCATTCAGCCTATCACAAATAAGATGACCCAAATGCTTCCGTGAATTCTACCTGTGAGGTATTTTGCATATTGAAAGCAAAAAGAAACCCAGAGTTTAGGAGTTGTGGAATGTGTGTTCATGGAGCACAATTTTTTTTTAATTAATTTATTTTGATTTATCAACAATCACTTCCATATGCTTTTGAGTTTAAGATTTTTCTCCCCCTCCCTCCCCATCACCCTTCCCAAGACAGCGTATAATCTGATATAGGCTATACATATACATTCCTATTAAACATATTTTCTCATTAGTGATGTTGTAAGTAAGAATTAGAACCAATAGGAGGAACCACCAGAAAGAGGAAACAAAACTCAACAGAAAAAAAAATAGCAAATGGTATGCTCAATCTGCATTCAAACTCCATAGTTCTTTCTTTGGATGTGGATAGCATTTTCCGTCACGAGGCCTTTGGAGGTGCCTTAGATCCTTGTATTGCTGAGAAGGGTTAAGTTTATCCATATTAGTCATTACACAACATGGCTGTTATTGTGTACAATGTTCTCCTGGTTCTGCTCACTTCACTCAGCATCAAACCATACAAATCTTCCCAGGTTTTTCTGAAGTCAGCCTGTTCATCATTTCTTATAGCATAATAGTATTCCATTACATTCATGGACCACAGCTTGTTCAGCCATTCCCCAGTTGATGGGCATCATCTCAATTTTCAATTCTTTGCCACCACAAAAAGAGCTGCTATAAATATTTTTGTACATGTAGGTCCTTTTCCCATTTGTATGATCTCTTTGGGATATAGCCCTAAAAGTGCTATTGCTAGGTCAAAAGGTATGCACATTTTGATAGCCCTTTGGTCATAGTTCCAAATTGCTCTCCAAAGTGGTTGGATCATTTCACAACTCCACTAACAATGCATTAGTGTTCCAATTTTCCCACATCTTCTCCAACATTTATCATTTTCTTGGTTTGTCATCTTAGCCAATCTGATAGGTGTGATGTGGCACCTTAGAGTTGTTTTGATTTGCATTTCTCTAATCAATAGTGATTTAGAGCATTTTTTCATGACTACTGATGGCTTTCATTTCTTCATCTGAGAACTGCCTGTTCACATCCTTTGACCATTTATCAATTGGGGAATGACTTGTATTCTTATAGATTTGACTTAATTCTCCATATATTTTAGAAATGAGGCCCTTATCAGAGATATTGGTTGTAAAAATTCTTTCCCAATTTTCTACTTTCATTCTAATCTTGGTTGCATTGGCTTTGTTTGTGCAAAAACTTTCCAATTTAATGTAATCAAAGTTATCCAGTTTGCTTTTCGTAATGTTTTCTATCTCCTGTTTGGTCATGAATTCTTCTCTTCATGGAGCACAATTCTTGAGCCCCCTGTTGGATACTTTTTCATTTTGATGATGTAATTCCTGGCCTCACAGCCTAGCAGGGAAATGTTGATTTTTCAGCACCTTTATAGCTTCCCTGTTGAGAAATAACTGGATTCTGGGCTGCTCTTAAACATCTTCTAAGAGGTAGATCAAGGCCAGACTTGGAATAATAATCATAACAGCAAGAGCAAGACAGCTTGACATGATTAGAAGTCCCGTCTTCAGGGCGCAAGACTTAGGTCCAAGTCCTATAATAACCATATGACTATGGGCAGGTCACTTAACCCCTGGGTGTCCCAGTCTGATGCTCTAAGACTATAAGTTACAGATCAGGACCATATCTGAATTAGTCTGCACTAGGATTCGGCAAACTTTTTCTGTTAAGATAGAAATACTTTAGGCTTTTGGGGCTGAAAGGCAAAATCGAGAATATTATGTAGGTATTTATTATATAACAAGAGAGGAAACACATTTCCAAAATTTCTTGATGAAATTCAAAACAGGATAATAATAATTGAGTATAATTTTTTGTAATACAAGTCTCCTAATGAGAAGAATAGAACTCTTTTGGGGAGAACAACATTTCATTTAATCAGGGTTTGAAGTTAGTTTCCCTATCATCAAAATCAGTTACACATGCTCATCTGTAACGTGATTTTATGTATGTCATCTTTGAAAATGCTTTCTCACACAGTTAGGGACGGCCAGATGCTGACATCCATCCCCAAGCGTATGATTTTAACTGAATGTATTCATCCATTGGAAGCATTTAT